GCCCGGCTGCCCTCTGACTGAAACCCCCTGAGATACCACCAGGCCAGATGGACAGAGGAACCAGCCAGCTGAGCCCAGTCAAGGCACAAAACTGTGAGAGAAAAATAAAACAGTCGCTGTGTAAAGCCCTTAAGCAGTAGGTCATATTGCTTTGTAAGCAGAAGAAAACAGAAACCAACTCCAAAGCCAAAACTTGTAAGAATGACCACAGCTGAGCTCTTCCGAAAAAATTCTCCCAGTTGCCTGAGAGAATTACATGGCGTATTAGTTTCCTATTCCTTCTGTAAGAAATGACCACAAAGGCAGTGGCTTAAAACAACTCGCATTTGTTATCCACAGTTTCAAAGGTCAGGAGCCTGAAATGGTTCTCACTAGGCTACACTCTGTGTCAGTAAGTGAGAGCTCCTTTCCTGAAGCTGTAGGGAAGAATTTGTTTTCCTGCCTTTTCCAGCTTCCACAGGCCACCTGAATTCCTGGGCTCATGGTCCCTCCTCTGTCTTCAAATGGGTGCCTTTCCTGTCTCCTTCTTTCACCTATAAGGACTGCGGTGATTACACTGGGACCACCTGTACAATTCAGGTTGCTCTCTTGTTCCCCAAATACCTGATTCAATCATACACGTAATAATGTTCCTCTGTCATGTAAGGTAACACATTCAAACAGGTTCCTGAAATTAAGATGTGGGCATCTCGGTGGGGTGGGAGGGGAAGGCTCATTATTCTGCCCACCAGGATAGCAAAGTGGAAAAATGACCAGTGTTCTCCAAAGGCCTAAGTGGAAACACACTGGAATTTTCCCACTGCCCAGAGACCTCCCACAGCTCTTCCCACGGTGTACTTTGCAAGCATGGCCCCAACCTGCCCGGCATCACTGCCCTCTTTTATTTTCTCTCCCCAAGAAATCTTGGTTGAAAAAGATCATTGCCTCCCCAACACAGTGCGTCACCGATGATTTATGCTTCCTGCATTTACTGTTCTTTCTCAGGCAGACACACCTACTCCTCCAGCTTCTACTGTGAGACACATGGCCAGGCTCACCCTCTGTGCCTAAAGAATCTTAGCCAAACGTACAGCCGCTGGATGTGTGGGTCAGCTTGGGAGGCCTGACCTGGGAGAACACGCAGTAGCCATAGCTCTGGAAAACTCCAGTTGCCTGGGATGGGGGCCGTGGTGAACAGCAGTTAGCAGTATGAAGACAATACAACAACATAATTCAAAAAGTGTAAATCTGATAAGTCAGTGCATTCCAACATCAAACAGCCTCTCCAACCAAACCTGTCCCCTCACTGAGCTCCTGGTGCTTTCTGTGCAGCCCGCCCCTCCACCAGACCGCCTGTCACACCCCATTCACAGGAAATCCTGCTGGAGCTACCTTTCAAATAAATCTACTGCTTATTCATTACTAAGGGGAAAAGGAAAGGTTCTTTTAGTGGTTGCCACCTTAACCAAGGGATCCAAGTTAGCACCACAAATGACGGAACAAACAGACATCAGGAGCCCCCTGAGGTGATGTCCTTAGGTGTTCTGTAGTGTTCCTGCCAAATATGCTCAACGTGAATCAAATCAGAGGAAATGATCAGAAAACTTCAGATTGCAGGACACTATGGAACAACTACCCCAGTCAACGTCACAAGGACAGGGATACTATTATAGAGGAAGGCCAGCAAACTTATTCTGTGAAGGGCCACAGAGTAACCATTTTACATTTGTGGGCCACAGAAATCCATCTCTGTGTCCACAGACAATGTATAACAAATGGACATGGTTGTGTTCCAATAAAACTTTATTTACAAAGACAGGCACTGGGCCAGGCTGCCAAACCTGCTGTAGATTAAAGGATACTAAAGAGGCAGGATCATCAAATGCAGTGCATGATCACTGAGCTGACTCTAGATTAAAAATAAAAATAATAAACAGCTTAAAAAGGACGTTTTGGGGACCAGAATATGAGCTATATATTAAATAGAAGCTGTATATTAAACAATATTGTCACCAATATTATTGTTATCAATGCTAAATTTCTCAAGTGTGATACTGGTTCTGTGTTATATAGAAGGTCTTTGTTCTTAGAAAATACAGGCTGAAATATTTAGGAGTTCAGAACCATGTCCAAGACTAATTTACAAATTTTTCAGGGGAAAAAAAAAAAAGATTGTGTGTATACATTCATACACACATTCATGTATGATGGCAAAGACCAAACAAATCTGCTGAAAGCTAATAAGAGTGAACTAGGTGTTTCTTTCTTTCAACTTATCAGGGAGTGTGAAATTTTAGAAAGAAGTGGCTGGGGAAAGAGTGTGAGGCAGTGGGCAAGTGACTTCCCCACTCACCTGGACTCCTGTAGTCGTCTCCTCCCTGCAACCACTCTCACCCTATGATTGCCAAAAGGATCCCATGAAAATTGGACTCGGATCCTGTCCCTCCCCTGCTCAGACCCTCCGTGAGTCCCAGCCATTCAGAGTAAAGCCAAGGCACTGGCAGAGGCCCCCAGGCCCTGCATGGTCTGCCCTCTTCCCACCACCCGCTCAGCCCTCAGCCTTCACTCAGTCCCTCTGTTCGGCCACACTGGCTTCCTCGATGTTCGCCAAACACGCCAGGCGCGTGCTCACCTCAGGGCCTTGGCAGGTGTGGAGACTTTGGGTGAGAAAGCTCTTCCCCCAGACACCCGCACTGCTTGCTCCCTCCTCTCCTCATGTTGTCGATGAGGTCACCCTGATAATCCTATCTAAACTTCACAACCGTCCCCCGAATACTCCTCCTTCTGCATCCCTGATGTCTTCTCCAGAGCAGTTTGTGCTATCGAATAGACTTCACACTTGACTGTTTTCTTTATTGTCTGGCTTTTCCCCAAAGCTGAGACTGTAAGATCTCCTGAAGACAAAACGTTTTGCTTTTTCTTCTCTGCTGTATCCATAACATCTACACGACAGCCACAACTCAGAGCCATGCACTGACCTACCGTTTTACATCCACTTACTCCTCACAACAGGATGAGATAAGTATTATTTATAGCATAAATGTACATGCAGCATATACACAAAATAGGAATAATAACAGTGTCTAACTCAGAATAATTGGTGAGGATTTAATGCTGTGAAGCGCTTAGCACACTGCCTGGCACAAAGTGAGTGCCCATTAAATGTAGCTATTATATAACATCCACTGCGCAGAGGAGGAAACTGAACCTTAGGGGGTTAGTGACCTTCCCAAAACCACCTGGCTGAGAAGTGCGGACCCAGTTTGGAACCCATGTCAGTTTGACTCAAGTTGCTGCTTTTTAAACCACAATACTAAGACATCCCACGGTGTTTGGGAGAAAGGCAGTGGCAGGAAACAGAAACCAGCTCTGGGAATCCAGAACGCAGGGTTTAAGTCCTGCCTTAAAGGGCCAGGGTTTAAGTCTGGCCCAGACTCCATGTGTGACCTCAGCAATTCCCTTCTGCTCTCAAGACTTTAGTTTTCTCTTTGATAAACCGCAGGGAGTCATTTCCTCTCCCTGACATGGGGACAAAACAGTGTAAGAGTCAAATGAGAAAGCTTATAGGAAAGCACTTCGGTAACTGAAATCCAACACTTTACCATTCTAAGATCTGCAACTCTGGCAGACAACCGATCAAACACCAAAAGATCATGAATTCCAGGCCCTGCAAAGCAAATTTTAGGCATCCAAACTTGTAAAGAAAAGAAGTGTGCTCCCCTTAACCATTTGGCCTTTACACACACTCCTCACTCTCCCTCAACATTATCCCTGTTCCCGTGCTGTCTGGTGACATTCTTCTCACCCTTCAGTTCCCAGCCCAGAGGTCTCCTCTGCCAGGAAGCTCTCCCTGAATGCTACATCAGGTCAAGTGTCCAGTGGGCTCCCTTATCCAAGCTCTGCCCACTCTGGGTCATCACCTTGAAGGACGGGCCTATCCTCACCCGACTGTGAGTTCCTTGAGGGCACAGACTAGGGCTGGCTTGATTCCTGCTGTTTCACCAGTACTGCCCAGCAGAAGGCCAGTCACAGGGCAGACACTCAGAAAACACCAACTAAATGAAGTACCAGCTGGATTAATGGTGGTTCCCTGACCCAACAAATTAGGTTAAATTTCCTTATTCTTTGCTCCCACAGGCCCCTAGCACATAGATCATCGTCTCACAATAGCCCATATTTTAAATGTTTACTATGCCCTTCGGATCTCAGCTCAGGCAGCCTTCCTCTAGAATCTAGACAGCTTTCCCGACCACACGCCCCTGGGTCAGGAGGTCTCTCAGCTCTGGAGTTGGCACCATCCTGACCGCTCTGGAGTGACAATGATGGATCATGTGTCTCCCAGCCCAGCAAAAAGCCAGCACGGCCTGTCTACTGAATGAATGGAAGAGCAAATATGGTGTATGCGTGGGTTAATAAATAGACGGATGAATGTCCACTTTAGTTAAAACGACTCCTTTAGCCAGATTCCCATGTCACGCTTCCAGACGCCAGACTTTGCCCCGAGTCACGCCCCTAACCTAGGCCTATTCCCCGGAGTACAACTGGGACAAACCAATGACCTAAACAGATGAAAAAAGCACCCCTCACTTCCCAGGACGGGAGGGAAACTGAGGCACGAGGCGGAGTTTGAGGAATGAAGCCACCCAAGGATGGTTTGGCAAATGACCCGGTCAAGTTTTTCCTCAGCTCTCCCCAGTTCCTCTCTGTCCTGGCATGCCCCGCCCAAATCACTCCCGTTACCCACACTATTGGCTCGTCTAGACGTCAGTCTCCTCGCGCTGTTTTCCTCTATTGGCTAATATTTCCAAATCAAGCGCGGGCACTTTGTACCGCCCTTCACCCCATGCCCGTTCTTACTATTGGGCTACTCGTATGCCCCTCTCCAAGGAACCCTCCCTATTGGTTTCAAGACTTTGCCGGTTCGGGCTGTGATTGGTTGTGAACAGAAGCCCATCTCCTGAGCAACCACCTGAGAAGGGTTAGAGAATGGAAAGGTTGGAGGGACGTGGGGTCAGACTCACGCTGGGCCGGCGGGAGGCAGATATAGGTCTTGAAGAACTCGCTTCGGCGGGCGGCCTCCTTAATGCGGTTGGCAAGCGGCTTGCTGACCTGCCGGATGCCCAAGTATAGCAGCTTCGCCATAGGGAACGCGCCCACCACCATCTTCGCTGCCGCAAGGGGCTCACGCAACCTTGCTGACTGGGAGGGGCGCCTCAGAACGCTCCCTCCTCCCCCGCCCTCTCGTCGCCGTGCGTGCGTACGTACGCGCGTACGCCCCGGGGAATCGCTGGGGCGCTCCATGACGTCACGGCGTCGACGCTGACGCTCCGACGTCCATTCGATGAATATGCAAATATACGGCGGAAGTGAGGCTGTCAGAGGGTGGTGCCGTTAAACGGCTCGCTGCAGCCTATATGCGTTCCCACGCCCGCTTTGGCTGACGTCATTGCCTTCCTCCGTGACGTCGCGTACCTGGGCGGCTTCTCCAAAGGAGCAGTCTTAATTAGTCCTAGTTAGGGCTCAGGAGTCCCAAATGCACCTTCTCCCTCAGTTTATTTATTTTTTTTTCTCCCTCAGTTTAGAGCTGTCAATGGTCGTAAGAAACTAGCCATGTAGTGAGAAACTGGAAACTAGACCTGTAGTGAGATCCCAGCTCCGCGATTTACTTGCTGTGTATGGCGAGTGACTTAACCTCTCTGAGTATCAGCCTTCCCATCTACAGAATGGGAATCATAAGAAGGCACATTCCTTATTAGGTTGTTATGAGGTTTGCATGAGAATCTTGAATATAAATGCTTAATGAGTGAACTATGTTAAGTGTTTAGAATGATGCAAATCACCCAATAAACAGCCCTTATAACTGCACAGGTATTAGCATTCTTATTGCTAACTTCAGCGTGAGGGTGCATTTTATCTCCAGAAACAGCTATTTTCAACCCTTTCTCAAGTAACAGACAAACAGGCCCTAAAAGGGGCCAGGGGAGTGGCACGAGGTCTCTCAGCCAGGAGAGGTTGATAACCCAGTCTCTTGGCTAATAAACTTACCCTTTCTCAAGCAGACCCACTTCCTCCGTTGGGGAGGAGGGTCCCTAGGGAGCTGGCTCAGGAAGGAGTTTAAAGAACATGTCCCAGACTGTCATCCCTTACCAGCGGGGAGCAAAATCATGTAAACAAGGTCGTCTGAGAGAAATGCCTGGGTGGTGGAGTGCTAATGGGTAATTGAGAGATTCTCGAAGAGGCAGAGGGCGAGGGAAAGTCCACGGAGCAGAGTTGTGTACAGAAGGAAACAAACGTTCAGGTCAGAGTCGGGGGACCCAGGGCTTTCCTCGGCAACCGCTTGGACTCCCTGTGTGTCTTTTGTCACTTCCCTGGCCCTGATGGACCCCCATTTCTCCATCTGTGATAATGGTGATACTGACATGTATGAACCCTGATGTTCTAAATTACTAAGAATGCCAAGACTCCATAAAAGCAACTCCTCTCCAGGATGCCTGTTGGACTGAAGGTGTGAAGGAGCTTGGGACCTATTACAGATCCATCACTCACTCACTCGGAACCATCTGCTCCCTCATGTTACAGACTGACCAACTGAGGCCAGAGAATTGACAAGGATTTATCCAGAGTTCCATGGGTAATCAGGAGAGAAACCCCTTGGGTTTCTTGAGTCCCAGTCTAGAGTCTTCTCCTGATCCCTGGGGGTGTTATCCTGGGGTCCAAGAACCTACTTGGGAGTGGGGCTGAGGTTCCACTTGACGCATTTAGGAAACTTCTAAATTTGTACATGATTTTTTTGTGTATAATTCACTACTGTTTCCTCAGCTCCTAGAACAATTTCTGGCATACTGTAGGTGCTCAATACTTATTGAATCAATGGGAATGAGCATTTGGTGGAGGGGTAGTGTTCAGGCTTTCATCTGATTCCCTGAGGGGCCCATGTTCAGAAAGCTTCTGGCTCCCTACATGTCCATCCTGGTAGCTGTACTGGAATGAGACAGGGTGGGAAAATTACAACCCCCCACCCCCCTGCCAGATCCCAGGCCTCCCTCTTTTCTTTCTCCCACAACACCAGAGCCCCAACTTCCTGCATCTCAGTGACCCAACCCTCCTCCTGCAAAAAACTTGTCCTCATTAAGTTCTTTTTTTTTTTTCCCTCATTCCCCTCCTCCCGCCTCTTTCTTTCTCTCAGGAACCTCTTCTGGGAACTTTCGGGGCAAGGGTGTATTTATGCCCGTGGGGGGTGGGGTGGGGGATGTGTGTGTGTGTGTGTGTATAGGCTTCACATCTCCTTAGCCTGGAGCCTCTTATACACCCAGAGGGGTCAAGGCCTATCCAGAGCTGGGTGTTTCCTCCTCCTGCTCTCCAGTCTGGTTCTGGAAGGACAGCCATTCCTGGTTGACCCCTGAGGGCCAGGAGAGGGAGGGGAACGCCATTAGCCAGGGCAGCAGCCTTGACCACTCCGGGGCGTGGGAACAGAGGCAGAGGCAGGGAGGGGAAAAGGAACCCAGGATGGTCTCAGCACTGACTCACCGGCTGTGTGACCTTGGGCTAATGACTTGGCCTCTCTGGTGAATAGTGCCTGGGATCATTCCCAGAGTTCCTTCTAATTCAGGTCCTCTGGTCACCCTTTTCCCAGGATGGGCAAGGGACTAGGGTTACACAATCCCACAGGGCCTTGTATTTCTTCCATCATTGGATTCCTTCAAGAGAAATCCCAAAGCTGACACCGATCTTTGCTTGCTCCACCATGACCCTGGTCCAGCTGTCAGCATCTCCCGCCTGGGCTTCTGGCTTCTGCCTTTACTTCCTCTATTCTGTTCCCTACTCAACAGCTTGGGACTCCTGTTAACATTTAAGTCAATCCCAAATGTTCTTTGCTAAGAGCCCCTCTGTGGTTTCCATTTATCTTGGAATAAAAGGCAAGGTCCTCGCATGGATTCACAATGCTCTGGGACATCGGCGCCTGTCCCTACCTGTCTCATCTCCATTCTTAATGTCCTCCCGCACCTTCGCTCCCACCACACTGCTGTGTGTACTTGCTGGCCCTCAAAATTCAGGCACTTTCTTACTCCAGGGCTTTCCACCTGTTGTTCCCTCTGCCTGCAGTGCTCTCCCAACTGACCCCTCACCTCCTTCAGGTCTTTTCTCAAATGCCCCCTTCTCAGTGAGCCCTCCCCACTCTCCTGATCTATATCAGACTCCATGTCATTTTCTGTCCTCTCAATTGGCTTTATTTTGCTCCATTATCCTTACCAATTCCATTTTTTTTTGGCTGCACCACACAGCATATGGGGTCTTAGTTCACCAACCAGGGATTGAACCTGTGCTCCTTGCAGTGGAAGTGTGGAGTCTTAACCACTGGACTGCCAAGGAAGTCCTTCGATTCCAAATTTAATATTTATCTTTATTTACTCATTTACTGTGAGCTCCATGATGGCGGGGCCTGGGCTGTCTTGGTCACTGTTTGTTTATACTGGCCAGCATAGGTATAAATAAATCTCTCTTGAATGAATGAATACCCTTCTCTTGTCCTGAGCCCTGTTCCCAAGCCTATCCTGCTCCCTGCTCCTCCAGACAGTTGACCAATGGCCCTTTATTTGGATTCTGACATGCTCCCTCCTCCTCCTCAGGCCTCACTTGGAGAAATCTATTTATCTCCAAACTCCGAAATGCTCTGTCCTGCTCTCTCTCTACTCTATATGACCAGGGGCTTCCCAAAGATAAAACTGATTGTTCAATACTCAATGAATTTCTCCTTCCACTTTCCCCTTGAATCACAGACTTTTACTCCCTTATTGGAAATAATCCTAACTTCTTTGTCTTTGCCTTCTGGAAAATTAATCTATTGGTCCCCTCCTCTAGGAAGCCCTTTCCATCCCCCAGACTGCGACAGAGGCCCTCTTGGGTTCCCCCAGCCCCTGGGCTACCCTGCCTGAGCCCTGCCCACTCTGGAGCATCACCCTCCCGGGATAGCTCTGTCTCTTCCATTGGAATGGGAGCCGTGAGGACAGAGCCAGAGCTGCCATTTGTCACTGCCGGGTCACTAACACACCCAGCACAGGGCTTGGCACAGTTCTACTGAATTGTCAGTAGGTCATGGCAGAGGATGATGGCTGATCAGTGACACATCAGCCTCACTGTTTTCCTATTTTCTTACATTTTATGAATAGTATCAGGGCCTTATTTACATACAATTTGCATACACTGGGCCAGAAGGGAAGGGAGTGAGTGGGAGATTAGACCGGAGGAGTGGGGGCTCTGCAGGATTCGAGGTTTACTGTGCCGGGGGCAGCATCTTCAGCTGCACCTGATCCCCCTGGGTGGGCGGAGCTGCCCCCCAGCCGGCTGCCATGGCCTTGGCCATGCTGTTCCTCTTGGAAGTGAGCGGGGTCTCCAGAGTGAGCGAGGCATTGGCCATCTCCTGGGGCTTGTCGCTGGCCAGAAAGCGGAGCAGGTGGTGCAGGCCCTTGGCCACATCACTGCGGGCGCCCTCATTGACGAGGCAGTAGAGGATGGGATCAGCCACGCAGTTGAGGCTGGTGAAGGCCAGCGAGCTGTGATATGCCGAGAAGACTCGCTCCTCGAAGCCACAGTCCCGGGGGCGGCGCAGGTAGACAGCGCTCCTCGACAGCAGGAGCACGTGGTAGGGCGCGAAGCAGACCAGCACGATGGCGATGAGGCTGAGGGCCAGCCTCTTGATCTTGACCTTCTCCTGGCGCTCGGTGGACACGCTGCCCCGCACAGCCCGCAGGATGCCGCGGTAGGACAGCAGCATGAGGGCCCAGGGGAAGAGGAAGCCCACAAAGACCCGGTAGAGGTTCATCCAGGCCACCCAGCCCTCCATGGGGAACTTCTCAAAGCAGAAGGTGTGGTTATAACGGTCGCGGAAGAGCTCGTCATGGAACAGGGGTGCCGAGTTGGCGCCCAGCTCCGTGGCCCAGACCACGGAGCTCACGGCCACAGCCGTCTTGACACGGCGCAGGCGGGTGAACCGCAGGGGGTGGGCCACGGCCAGGTACCGGTCCACCGAGATGCAGCACAGGAAGGCGATGCTGATGTAGATGTTGGTGTAAAAGATGAACCCAAAGAGCTTGCAGGAGCCGGGGCCGTGGATCCAGTTGTCGTGGTGCAGGAAGTAGTCCACCCACAGCGGCAGCGTGCAAATGTACAGCAGGTCAGCAATGCTGAGGTTCATCAGGTACACGCCCAACTCGTTGTGTTGCCGCACCTGGCGGTAGGCGGCCCACAGGGCCAGGCAGTTGGTGGGCAGCCCCACGCCGATGACGAAGATGTAGAGGGAGGGTGGGAAGAGGTGGTCCACACGAGAGTCCACGTGGCAGCCCTCCAAGGTGCGGTTGCCCATCCTTGGCACTGGGTCTTTTGGGGTGCTTCCCCTGGCCCACGGGGGCTGTGGGGCCACGGGGGGCGGGAGGCCATCAGGCCTCCCTGAGCCCCCTCCTTGGAGGCTCAGGGGAACATGGTGGGAGGCAGTTCACGGGGTTAGAGGATGAGGTGGGCTGCTAATCGTGGGCCAGGCTAGGCAGGGAAGGACAGAGGCTTCAAAGGGAAAAGTTGGAGAAGGGATAGAATTACAACAGGAGGGAGGTTTGGGGGTGGCAGGATTAACAAAGAGCTTTGTCAAGGAGGTTTTATAGACCCAACCAGAGCTTAAATGGGAGAGTACTGGGGTAACACACGATTGACCAAGGGGAGTGTTTATACGGGAGAGATGAAGGCATCAGTGGGCAGTGGTGAGAGACAGAGATTTGTGGAGGATGTAGAAAGTAACCATGGTTATGCTGAAGTAACAGTGAGGTCAAATGTCCAAGAAGACGTAGGAAATGTATGGGATAGTGTTGAGACAGGGCAGTCCACAGTTTGGGAGTGGAGAAGACCAGGCCAGATGGATAGGGGTGCTGACACCTCCTAGGAACCCAGTAAGAAATACGGAAATAAGGGAGGTAACCAAAGAGGAGAAGACTACAAAAAAAGGGGGTGTCCTATGAGGGATGAAAGATAGGGAGGACTTAGTCTGGGGAATGTGGGAAGGGTTTTAAAGAAACAGGAAGGTGGTGAGTAAGGGCTCTGTCAGCACAGGGTTACCAATACAGGAAACTTAACGGGGACATGGGAGGGGCTCCAGCTCGGTCCTGGTGGGGGCTGAGCAGTTGAGATGAGGTGGCCCTGCTTCACAGTTCAGGGCTGACTCTGCGGTACCTGTGGGGAAAGAGAACTGCCGTGAGAGGTGTCAGGGACTTCCCTCTGCTCCCCATGCCCTGGTGAGCTCCAGAGGATAGGCACCTTAATGATGCTTAATCAAAGCAACAGATCACTGAAAACACAGATTTGAGATGTCAGTTATAGTTTTTCCCTAATAGTTTTTTTTAAAGTTTTCTTCCAGAAACCACATAAAACTGGCACAAGTCTCATATCATGCTTTGGGAAATACTGAACTAGTTTCACCTATAATATTGTAGACATAGAGACAGGACCCAGAGAGGCTGGGTCACTCCCCTCAAGGATGTACAGCAAGGCAGTGATGGAACCAGGCTAGAACCAGCTTCCTACTCCTAACCCAGGGCTCCAAATTCTTGACAATGATGATTGATGGTGGTGATAATAACAACTAAAGTTTTTTTTGAGTCCTATTACATAGCAGACCTTGTCTTTAGCACTTTGTGGATATGAATTTTAAATTTTCATGAACCTTATGAGGAAAAGTACTGTTATTCCCTCTATTTGACAAACTGAGGCACACAGCAATTCAGAGACCTGTCCAAGGTCCTGATAACGGGAGAGGGGGAAAATCTTGGCTCTCACCTCCTTTCTCCAGCCTGAACGTCAGTTTTTACCCAAGAATAATTGGACAGAGAGGGGGCCCTGGGCTGACAGCCCATGGAAGCATAGCTGCAGGGGGCTGGGGCAGGGAAGTTAAGAGAACTCAATCAACCAAGGGGGAGCCCTGGGGGCAGCGCCAGGAGTCCCCTCCCTCAGAGACCACCCCCTTCATTATCTCTTCCTGCTTCCCTCTGACTTCCCCCAGTGAGAATCTTGAGCCCGTCACCCCCTGGTCCTGGGGAGATCTTTAAGCACAGAGCAAAAGACAGTGTTGGACCAAGCCCTGGACCACTCTCAGCCCCCAAGAGGAGGGGAGTGAAGTCCTGAAGTAGAGGCACCTTTAGAGGCCATTCCATCCAGCGGTTTGCATCAGTTTGTGGGCTGTGGAACCACTTAAAAAAAAAAAAAAAAAAAACAACCATATCTCAACAGGAAATCTCATCTAAGACAGTGCAAAGGGGAAGTTACTCTGTGCTCTAGATAAAAGGAGGTGGCAGGAGGAAGTCCACCTCTGAAGAGTCACCAGGACACATTTTGAAAACCACTGGTTGAGTCAGTAGGACAGATGAGGAAACCGAGGGGCCAAAGAGGGGAAGGGATGAGCCCCAAGGCATCCAGCAGGCCCACAGGAACCTCCCAGGTGCCTGAGCAGCATCTTCCCATGGGAGAGTCCTCTGGGCTCTCCCTAACCTCCACACTAAATTCTGAACCCATGCATGTCTCTAAAACCCCAGCCGCTGCCCACTCTGCTCCACCATGACCGCTGGTTTGGACCTTGCAGTTGACCCTCCCCAAGGCTTTCCTGCCTGCCACTCTGGCTTCCCTCCACTCACTCCCCACATGGCAGCCAGACAGGTCTCTCTAACATGTCCATCAGCTCTTGTTATTAATCCTGCTCTGCTTGAAATCCTCCAATAACTTCCCCATAGACTTGGGACAAAATCTCAAGTCTTCCCCCCAGGTGACACGGCGCTGCCTGACCAGCCTTCGCAGCCTAGCTGACTTTCATGCCCACCTCTCCCTCCCCGACCTCAGCAGGCTCAAGGCTGGACCTTCTTTCCAGTCTCACCACCTCTGTCCTTCCTTCAGATCTACTTAGGAGTAGCTCCAATACCTCCATCACTTCCTCAGAAAGGCCCTCTCTACCCACAGTCCTGCCCACCCACACCCACCCACTTCGTGTGGAGGAATTACAGGAATCACAGAATCTCAAGATAGGGCTCTTCTTTTCCAGGAGGTTGCATCCTATTTGGGGACAACTTCAGTTCCTCCAACATCTGAGTGCCTCCTCTGGGCCCTGCACGGGACTGGACACTGGAGATAAATATAAATAAGACATGATTTCTGCCATCATAGATGGCTGGTGGGAGAGAGGTACACATGTCTGTGAGGTGCTTCTTGTTAGTTTACTCACAACTGGAAAATGTTGTTGTAAAAGTCAAGGCAAGAAAGAGGACTGAGTCAGGACAGAGGCAATGGCTGTGAAGTTGACATTAAAGGGATAGATTGAATAGATTGGGTACCTGGAAGTTCGAGAAGTGAGGGAAATCTCTCATTATTGAAGGAAATTTAGAAAATGCACAAATGCAAAATGAAAATATGCTTATCCATAGTCCCAGGGCTTCCTTGGTGGCTCAATGGTTAAAAAAAAAAATATGCCTGCCAACATAGGACACATGGGTTCCATCCCTGGGTTGGGAAGATCCCCTGGGAAAGGAAATAGCAACCCATTCCAGTATTCTTGCCTGGGGGAAAACCCATGGACAGAGGAGCCTGGCGGGCTACAGTCCGTGGGGTCGTAAAAGAGTCATACATGACTGAGTGACTAAACAACTCTCTTCACATCATCTTGCATCTTGTTTGTGTCTGCCTGTCTGTCTTGAATGGACATTCCGGGAGAGCAGGGACCGGGTATTGACTGCTGTAGCTATCGCCAGCACCCAGGACAGGCCCAACATACAGTAGGCACTCAATAAATGCCTTTGGACTCAGGGAAGAGGCATTTGGTCAGCCCCTGCTCCCACACAGGCTCCCCCTCCCCTTGAGGCAGTACCACCCCCCACTTCAAGCTCCAGCGAGTCCCTGCAGGGTCCCAGAGATAAAGAGATGAGGAAGGAAAAAGTGAAAAGGGCAGGCTCTCTCTGCTGCATAATTGACTTTGAAAGGTCAGGGCTGAGTCCCAGCTTAGTAAATCCTACCCCCTGTGGGGTCCTCCGAGACAGAAGGGCTGCCCGCACCTCAGACTCGCAGACACTCCTGGATCCCGTGGAGATGGGAGGGAGGGGGCTTGCTGCTGACTGGAACAGTGCAATCTGGTCCCTCCCTTTGAACTGAACCACCCCTCCTTCAGCCTGGAACACCAAGGGAGTTACTTCTCCTTCAGGAGCCTGTTTCCCCTTCTGCATGAAGGGGAGGTGGGGCACAACTTTTATACCAGTCACATCACAGATACAAAAATCTTTGGGACTTCCTGGTGGTCCAGTGGTTAAGGCTCCTCGCTTCCACTGCAGGGGGTGTGGGTTTGATCCCTGGTCTGGGGAACTAAGATCCTGCATGCTGCATGGCATGGCCCTCCCCTCCCCCCCCAAAAAAAAACACACAGAAGAAAATATCAATTCAATACAAACTCTTACAGAAAATTGTAGAGGATGAAACATCTCCCAACTTATTCACAGGGAACTATATTCAATATCCTGTGAGAAATGAAATATTTCCTGCTGTATCAGTAAACAAGGATGTCACAGTCACCAGCAGCTGCGGCCACAATGGGTGGTGAGCTGGTGAGCCTTGAGGGCACTCAGGAAGGAAAGAATACCTGCCATCTAGCAGACTGCAGCCACTCCCCATGGTGAGTCCCCCCCACCCCTAGGAAGCTCAGGATACTGGCCTCAGATAGCTGAGGTGCGAATCAAAGGAATGATTTCATTGAGCCCAGACTCTTACATCTTCCCATAATACATAGAAAAGCGCTAAATTCCTCAACTTGGGATATCTGGTTTTCTTTAATTGACAATGATCTTCTGATGTTCAGACTACCCACCCTTTGTTGCAAAACATCTATATAACCTGGCTCCTTGGAGCATGTTTTCCCAGGGTGACTTGAGATGCTGACTGCCGGGCTTGAAGTCCTAAAAATCCTCACCCAGTAAAATGTAACTTAACTCTCAACTTTTAGGTTATGAATAATTTTGTGTGTGAATATTTTCTTGACTCCACATCCGTGACAAACCATAATGGAAAGAATATTTAAAAAACAAGAATGTGTATAACTGAGTCACTTTGCCATATAGCAGAGATGGGCACAACATTGTCAATCAACTACTGTTGTTGTTCAGTTGCTAAGTCGTGTCCAGCCCTTGTAACCCCATGGACTGCAGCATGCCAGGCTCCTCTGTCTGTCGTCTACCATCTCCTGGAGTTTGCTCACATTCATGTCCATTGAGTCAGTGATGCTATCTAACAGCACCAAAATCAACTATACTTCAACTTGAAAAATAAAATTAATTTTAAAGAAAGAAACAAAATCCTTGGTAGAGGTGATATCATCTATAAATTGAGCAGTGTTTGAACAATTATTACTATTCCACAGGCACTGCGGAGCTGACATGAGAAATGAACCAGTTCATAATGAGAGGAGGCGCTTAGAGTGGAGAAATTCCCTTTGTCCCACCCTCTCAAGACCCCCCCAGTTCTTCTGAGGCTGGGGTGGGTACACAGGCCGGAGACTGATTTCCTGCAGACAAAGGAAATGCACTTCCCATTGCTAATTTCCTCCAGGGGCAACCAGTAGGACACTCGCCCCTCCCTCCTCCTCTCCTTCTTCTTCAACCCACCTGCTTCTTGGGGGATGCTAGGCGTGGGGGGAGAGGCATCCAGCCCTCTCGTCTCCCCCACCTGAGATCTGCCCAACATCAACCCCCACACACAAAGATACCAACAAGGCAGTTAGCTGTCTAAGTCACATGACATGTCAAGGCTGCCTAGATCAGTCGTTCTTAACGAAAAAGAATGTTTTCTCTCTTCCCTCCCTGCACTCTTGTAATTTTTTCTCAAGTCTTTCTGAGGTTCTCAGCCCTCTTCGAGACTCTGCTGAAAAACCCACAGCCCACACTCTCTCACCACCAGAAGGCAAGTGACCTCAGGGGTCTTGCGTGCCCCTCCATCACCTGACTCCCTTGCCCAGCACTCTCTCCCCCAAGCCCACACCCCCCACAACTCCTGGTCCCTGCTGGTCCCTCTCAGAGGGCCAGGGAAGAGAGATAAGTTGGGAATGTGGAGCGATAGTGGGGTGACAGAAAGGACTGTCAGACCCCTGACCCTACTTTGCACAGTCTCAGCTGCTCAAGCCAGCTTCTCAGTCCAGCAAGGCTGAAGGCTTGGGGCTAGGGGCTTGAAAGGGCAAGAGGGAGAGGTAATACAGCCCCCACACCCCTGTCACTCACCAGCCTTGTCCTAGAAGCCTCCAGGTCACCTCTCTCACTCCCCACTTCCCTCCTCTGAAGGCTCCTGCTCCCCTGTCAGCCCCGTGGGGACCAGTCAGCTCCGGTTGGTCTGCTCATTAGGGGAACGAAATGTGATCACAGAGCCTCGCTCCCCACCTGGCGCCTTGGCGGCTGGCCGGCGGAAACCGGGGACAGTCAGGCCACCGTGACTACTCTGCTGGCCTCAGTTTCCCCATTTCTACCGAAGGGATACCCATCCCCCCACACATGTCCCCCACACCACCCAGAAGGGACACCAGGGAGGGTCCTTGACTCTACTCCTCTGATGGTCTAGATTCCCAAGGCTCTCAGATCCTCAGGTTCTATTGTTAGTCCAGGCCATGGTTTACTGTTCTATTATTATAACCTTTTAGAGCTTTACCTTCCTTCCATTCTATTATTATTATTATGGCGGCTTCCACACCCTTACCCTTCTAGGTTTCTAATATCCCAGGAAATTCACATTCCAGGATTCTCAAGTTCTATTGTTAGAATGCTCTATGCTTTAAAAAAAAAATTGTACAACTTTCATAATCTATTATTAAACTCTCAGTGATCATTATCTTTGCCCACCAAACACGAATCTGTATTTCCCCTTTCTTTTTTACAGATATGGTGAACCCCATTTCCTTTTTCTCCCTTTATCTCTTCTGGTTTGTGTTGTTTTTTTTTTTACATTCCAGCAGCCTGAAGTTCTAAAATTGTGCAGAATTGTAAAATACTAAGAATTCAATGTTTGCAGGGGGTGGGTAGTCACATTTACCTGGCCCCTAAATTCTTTCCCCCTGGTGAGGACACTAAGAGCCCAGGCTGCCTCTCTATACCTGTCCCAGAAACTTTGTCTCATCCCACCCCACTGGATCACATACTGGCTGAGGCTGAGTTATTATTTGTCTAGACACAAAGCAAATTATAGGCCACGTCCTGCAGGAGCAGTGGGCTTCATGGGGAGGGTCAGGAGACAGAGTCAGGCGGGAGTGAATCTCTGCCCCCTCTCCCCACCTCCCCTCTTCTCTTCCCTCCTTCTCTGAGATTCCACCCCTTCCACTCCAACCAACTCTTATCCTCTCTCCCTCTCCACCACCGTGGCTTTAGAAATATTTTCTCTCCTCTGCTTCTAAGAAAACGCTCCCTCCTGGGTTCCAGCCATTCACACTTACCCTGGCATTCTTCTCTCTTCCCTGTGAAGACCTCCTTCCCCACATTAATCTGAGGTAGTGGCAGCAAAAGAAGCCACTTCTTTGGATTTGGGCTTCAGTGGAACCGGAGTCCCAACCCAGCCTGAAACTGATTCACCTTGGGGACCTCTACACTTGGGCCTCAGTTTCCCCATCTCTGAAATGGGGGGGGGGGGTTGGTCTATCTGGCTCTGACAGCACTTTTGAGCTCTTGACTGCAACCACTGAAAACTGTCAATATTCCAAAGCCCATCTTTTTGGACTGAAGGGTTCAAATACCCCAAGACCTTTAACTTGAAGGTTTGAGCTCTCCCAATCTTCCTTTCGGGTCATTCTCACATACTTGGGTCCTTTCATGCAAAGACTTCACATTCAAAACTGACGATACTCTAATTAAAAAATTAATTAAAAAAGAGTTCACATTCAAAACTTCTTGATTCCCAGAGTTTTGGAGCTCCCCCCCCCCCCAGAAAAAACTATCAATCTCTCTCATTTTCTCCTACTGAAGCCCCGCCCAGAGAGGACAACCTCCCCATCCTCACCCCAAACCTGAAGTCAGGCTCATCCACAGAGACAGTGTTGGGGGGCCCTTGGTGAATTCTCCCCCAGTGGTTTAGTGGTAAAGATTCTGCCTGCAGTGCAGGAGAAGCAGGAGATGTGGGTTTGATCCCTGGAGGGGAGGATCTCCTGGAGAAGAAAACGGCAACCCACTCCAATATTCTTGCCTGGAAAATCCCATGAACAGTGGAGCCTGGCGGGCTACAGTCAACCGGGTCGCAAAGAGTCGGACACAACTGAGCACGCAGGGACACACTGGTGAGTTCGAGAGAAGTGTGGCTGGTGGAGGGCCCTGGTTGGGGGTGAGGAGGGGTGTGGCCCCCATCATCTTTATCTCTGCCCTCCAGAAAATCCCCCAGACCTCATCCCACCTGAGTATATATGACATTCATTCCACAACCAGCATCTCACAGAAATTCCAGAGCTGTCCTTCAGGGTGGTTGAAGCAGGGGGTGGGGGTTCGGGGATGAAGCCACGGCAGGAAGGAGTTAATGGGTGACCCAGCCAAATCCTGGACTGGAGGAAGTTGGGGAGGAAGTTCACCCCCTCCCCCAGCCAGGAATTCCTGAAATTGGAGGGTGGGGTGGGGGCGACCTCCAGAGCAGTGGCGTGACTCTGTTAAGGGGGAGCCCAGGTCACAGGGGTCCTCAAAGTCCACCCGCCCCAGGTGGTAATCCTACTGCCCTCTACCCGACTCCCAAGAAGATCCTCAGCCCAGGGGAAAGTTGGAGAAGGATGACGACGGAGTGAAGTTGCCAGAACCGGGTCTAAGATACGTGGAGACAGAGACAGAGGCATACGGAGAGATAGAGAGACAGGAAGAAAAAAGGCGAAGAGATGCCCAGAAACGGGGAGACGGAGGCAAAGAGATCCGTATAGACTGAGAGTTCATCAAGACCCAGGGATACAGGCAAACGGAGTGAGAGAGAGACGGAGAGGCAGAGATAAAAGATACCGACACAGAGACATCGAGATGGCGAAGGGGAGACACGAGCAGAGGGAGAGGGACCGCAGATTCAGAGAGACATCAGAGACCGACGGAGAAATGGAAACAGACCCAGAGACAAAGTCAGCCGCGGAGACGCAGGGAGAGCCAGCCCCAGAGAGGGGCGGGGACCGAGGCCACGCGGGAGACTGAGGCAGCGGACGGACGCGGGGACTAGCGGCCGCCGGCGGCCGCGGGACCTGCGCGGACCGGGGAGGAACCGGCGCCTACCTGCGCGGGGCGGCTGGACGGGGCGGGCGGCGCCTCTCCCTGCGGCTGGGGGATCCGGGCTCCGCGGCGGCGCAGGGACCCGGCGGCGACTCCTCCCGGCCCCGGGCCAGAGCCACCAGCCGAGGCCCCGCCCCGCCCCGACCGGGCCCGCCCCCGTTAACTCCTCCATTATCGCTCCCCCTTAACCCCTTCACCCCACTAAAGCCTTCCAGCTCTGGAGAAACCTCACCTGCTGGTGAAACACCCCCGAGTCCTTCAACGTCTCCAGCCTGGAAGCCTCCATCTCATAAATTCCTTTGCTTACCCTCTCTCCAACCCTGCACTCCAACTAGATCAAGCCTTAAGCTTTGGGGAGGTGGGGGACGGGGGTTTAGGGAGACCCCAGACCCAAGTCATTAACTTTGTGGTCACTGCACTCCCACTTCCCCAAGGGAGAGAAAGAGGGGTCTGTTAGTTCCCCATGCCCATGGTCAGGGCCACCCCTGGAAGGAATCTCTCTTGGGGTTTCCAGCTCCAGCCCTGTCTCTTGCCCAGACTTAGGCTGGCGACCTTTGTGTGCCTCTGTTTCCTCTTCTGATCGTGTGGTCTCTCATAGTCCTTTTATCATGAGGATGTCATACTATAAAGTCTGTAAAACATGACACCCCCCACCCACGATTTCCTTTCTCCCTGCTTTATTTGGTTTTCCCCATAGAAAGTGTCCCAACAGTCTGTGTATTCCACTTATTTTGTTGTTTTTCTAATTATCTGCCTTCCCACTAGGAGGAGTGTCATTTTTCTGTTTGGTTACTTTACTACACAATACATGTGCAATACACGTTGTTTTCAAGGAGTAAATACATAAATGTTAAGTGCTGCAAAAATATTTGCTGATTTTTATGTTATCATGATCTCCTTCATAAACTGATCCATTCTTAGGCAAAGCACTTTGGACAGACTTGGGATGTAACACTCAAAAGTGACAACTAATAAAAAATATATATATATATATTTTTTTTTTAGGAAAAAGGGACAGCTAGGACTTCCTTGGTGGTTCAGTGGCTAAGACTCTGAGCTGCCAATGCAGGGAGGCTGGGTTCGATCTCTGGTCAGGGGGCTAGATCCCATACTTGGCAACTGAGACCTGGCACAGTGTGGGGGAAAAAAAAGTGACAGCTATTGGGCTTGCAAATTCTTTTTTGTTTATTTATTATTCTTTTATTATAATAATTATTGGGCCTTCCTCAGTGGCTCAGCTGGTAAAGAACCCATCTGCCAATGCCAGAGATGCAAGAGACAAGGGTTCAATCCCTGGGTGGGGAAGATCCCCTGGAGAAGGAAATGGTAACCCACTCCAGTATTCTTGCCTGGAAAATTCCGTGGACAGGGGAGGCTGTCAGGCTACAGCCCATGGGGTCGCAGAATCAGACATGACTGAGCGCGCACGCACGTGCACACTCTCACACACACAATGATAATTATTATTTTGGCTACTCTGGGTCTTCATTGTGGTGTGAGGGCTTCTCTAGTTGAGGTGTGCTGACTTAGTTGCCCCATGGCATGTGGGATCCTAGTTCCCTGACCAGGCATGGAACCTGCTTCCCCTGCATTGGAAGGCTGATTTTTAACAACTGGACCACCAGGGAAATCCCTGTTTATTTATTTTGAGAATAAAAATGCCGGGATCTTAAGGGAGCAGCCCAATAAGTTGTGACAAACAGATACACCCATGTGACTAAGCACCCAAATTAAAACATAAACATTTCCATCACCAGCGACCACTGTTTTGTTTGGGTTTTTTGCTCCTTTCCAGGGCACTCACTCTCTACTTTACCCCCAGAGACACTCCATGCCTTTTTTTTTTTTTTTACTGGAAAAGAGTGTTGCCTGTTCTAGAACTTCATAGAAATGAAATGAAACAGTTCTGTTCTGCTTTGTTTAAGGTAGTTATTATAATCACTCACTGTGTGGCCTTGGACAAGTGACTTCACCTCTCTGAACCATAGTACCCCTTTCCTCTCAGGGCTCTGGAGGCAAATAGAAAGTAAGAGTTAACCAAGCACCCAAGTGACCTGAAATACACAGGAATAAAAGCTGTTTGCTTCTACCCTCCCTCAAGGGGACAGGCAGAGAGACATACCAATGGAAGTGTCATGAAGAATTTAGCCCCTCTTCACAAATAACCCCATGTAAAGTTTATCAGCTTTCAGACAAGTCTTCCCGTCAGCTCCGTGGCCATCCCAAGGCCCTTCTAAAGAGAAACTCTGAGGTGCCCTGGTGAGCGAGGGTCCCCTTCTCTCATGGACTCACCCTAAGTTTATAATGTGATTCAGTTAGGATCCTGGCAGGAAACAGGTAGCCATTCAAAGAGCTCGTGTGCTGAATCGCTTCAGTAGTGCCGACTCTGCGACCCTATGGACTGTAACCTGCCAGACTCCGCTGTCCATGGGATTGCCATTCTCTTCTCCAGGGGGGTCTTCCTGATTCAGGGGCCGAATCCAGATCTCCCACACTGCAGGAAGGTTCTTTACCGTCTGAGCCACAAGAGGAGCTGTAGCTCTAGATAGAGAACACATCCACTGGCAAAACTGCAGGGATGCAGAGAGAGGCCTGGGAAATAAATACTCCAACCTCTTCCCCCACTACTGACCTTCAGATTTCCTGTCAGTGCTTGTAACGGGAAGAACCCAACCAATGGACTCTCATGCACGGAGTCCACACAGGGCACTCTCACAGTACCCAGAGCTGGAGGAGAAAGGCTGAGAGTGACCCTTAGGTGCACTGTGGAGAATCACCTGCACGCAGTTCAGTTCAGTTCATTCGCTCAGACGTGTCCGACTCTTTGCGACCCCATGGACTGCAGCATGCCAGGCCTCTCTGTCCATCACCAACTCCCAGAGCTTACCCAAACTCATGTCCAGTGAGTCGGTGATGCCATCCAACCATCTCATCCTCTGTTGTCCCCTTCTCCTCCAGCCTTCAATCTTTCCCAGCACCTGCACTATTCTCCCAGAACTTTCTATGCATATTTTTCCACGCAGGTCTGAGGCTGGGCACAAGGGGGCGACAGAGCACCAAGACCCAGGGAAAGGGATGCTTTGATGGAGCTGGACCACTTACTTCCCCAGAACTTGGACAGTAGGGAAGGGCCAAAAAGCTGGAGGACAGGAAAGCAGCCTTTGATCCCAGGAAAGGAGAGTTTGATTGAAAACGTAGGGGTCTGGAGTAGGGATATGATTGCTGGACTCTGCCTATCGAATGGGAGTTGTCTGGGTGGACAAGTTCAAAAGGGTATACCAGCAGGGAAGGAACAGCATGTGCTGAAGCTCAGAGGCATGAAATGTCACAGGGAAGGGCAAGTACCGGCGATTCAAGTGGCTGGAGATAAGAGATGGGGACAGAAGAAGATGTTGGCTTAAAAAGGAAGAAACGAGGGAAAAATAAGGGCAGCTAACAATTAATGACCACTTACTACAGTCAAAGTACCATCCTAAGCACTTCATGTGAATAACTCAGACTGGAAACTGTATCTCTGCCTCTCCTAGTTCTCCAGCTTGCTGATTGACCCAGCAGATCTTGGGACTTGTCAGTTTCCACAATTGAGGGAACCAATTCCTTATAATATATAAACCCCACTGGCTCTGTTTGTCTGGGGTTTTCTCTAACTAATATACTACTTCAAAACTGAAACTAGATGTTATCAAGCAGGATATCCTATCACTAATTTAAGGACTTCTTTAGAATATCATCCCATACCTGAAGTACGTTCAGCCCAGATGACAGAACTCATTGTGCTTCTTAGGGCTTGTTAACTAGCCAAAGACCAGAGAGCAAACATACTTGTATATAAACAGCAGGTATAATTTGGAAATACTGTAGAAACAAAAGGGAATTTATAACCTTTTCCGGAATCCTCCTGAAAAAAAATCTATACATGTGATAAAACTGCATACACACACATAGACACAAGAGGACATGTAAAACAGGTTAAATCTGAATAAGGTCTGTAGACTCACCAGGGCCAGTTTCCAAGTTTGCTAGTGTAGTATAGTTGCATAGGATGTTACCACCGGGGTTAACTGGATGAAGGGTATAGAGGACCTCTCTATTCTCTGTTGGCAACTTCCTCTGAGCCTATAGTTATTTCAGAATTGTTTAAGTAAAACCACATACACACAGAGGTTTCTCAAAAAGTTAAACAGAATTACCATATGGCCCAGTAATTCTACTCCTAGGTATATACCCAAGAGAAATGAAAACATATTTCCAAATAACAACTTGTATATGCATGTTTGGGCTCCCCAGGTGGCGCCAGCAGTAAAGAGTCCGCCTGCCAACACAGGAGATGTAAGAGTCATGGGTTCAATCCCTAAGTCAAGAAGATCCCCTGGAGGAGGGCATAACAACTCCAATATTCTTGCCTGGAGAATCCCATGGACAGAGGAGCTGTGTGGGCTACAGTTCATAGGGTCGCAAAAAGTCAAATGTAACCGAAGCAACTTAGCATGCATGCATATGTATGAATTTTTATCACAGCATTATTCACAACAGCAGAAGATGGAACCCAAACTTTCTTCATGTGTGAACGGCTAACACCAAACTATGAGTCATAGCAAAATGGTTGTTGTTTTAAGCAATTAAGTTTTTTTAACTCTCCTTTCAAATTTTTTTTTAAAGAAAGTATTTTATTTTTAATTACTTGGCTACACTGGATCTAGTTGCAGCATGTAGTATCTAACTCCCTGACCAGGTATCGAACCCAGGCCCCCACCATTGGAAACACAAAGTCCTAGCTACTAGACCACAAGGGAAGTCCTGCTAACCCATTAAATTTTGAAAAGCTTTGTTCTGAAACAATAGATACTGGGAACAGGGGTCTTCAAACTCTTCAGAAACACTGCTGACCCTGCCCTCCAGCGTGTCACTCACCTTCACATAAATAGGCTGAGATGGCTGGTAACCTCATCTCCCTTCCTCCCTTCCGAGAGAACTCCCCCACCATGTGAGGTGCAGGTGGGGCTCTCAGTCCCAGGTATCATATATTAATCCCTTCCTAAGCAAAGAGATGAGCCAGTGACCCAGGCCTGGCCAATCACATGACCCTAGCCCCGAGGCCAGGGGTCCCCAACCTCCAGGATCTAATGCCTGATGATCTGAGGTGAGCTGATGTAATAATAAAATGCACAGTAA